AATGGATGGAGGATAATATTTATTTTCGTGAGCAAAAAAATCTTCCACGTTGCCTGTGCGGCTTTGACTGGCCACATACATTTGACAAAATATGTTTGAGTCATGTTTAAGATCTGTTATTCTAAGCTTAGTTTTGTTACATGTCTTTTTAGGGCCATGAAATAGTTCCAAATTGTTTTTAGACAATGAATCATAAAAAGATTTTTGACCGAAAATTAAACGTTCTTTTACAAAATTTTCATATTGCTTGATTCCTTTTTGTTCCGCTTGTCTAACGGAGTTCTCTGCAGATTGAGACATTAAAATTTTTTGGTTGTCGATAGTTTGCAAAAGTTGTTCAGAAAATGGATTGCCGTCTTCCTGCATATATTTAACCATTTTTGAAACATGACTAATATATCGAGATTGAAAGCTTGCTGAACATTCATGATGACACCGATTTGGAACTTTATTAGACAAATTGTGCACTGGAATCTGGTCATAATCATGTATCATTCGTGAGATTTCCGGACCGGCCACCATCCATTTAAGAAGAGCATCATTATTATGCAAATTGTTGATAGCTTCACTACATCCTTTTATTAGTTTGTTATTTTGTTCATGCAATTGATCATCGGAAATTGCGGAGAAATCAGCATTAGTTTTTCTACTTGTGAAATGACCTTTCTGGAATGCTTCATAAACTTGCGGGTGTCGCACTGGTAGTTCTTTGAGCCCTTTTATGAAAACAGGAAGCCATCGTGAATAATGAATAAGATCTAAAGCAAACAACCAAGGACAAAGCTCTTCGAGCATTTGGACAAATAAACAGAAATCAGAAGTACGTATGCTACGAACAAAGTTAAGTAATATGCCCTCCAAAATTATGGTCGTCTGCCAAAATAAAAACTGAGCAGATTCTTTGCATCTTCGAGCCACCCATGTTTCCAGAGACTCCACTGCCGTTTTTTGGTTATCTCTATATGCGTTGTTTCTTAGAATGTAAAGTGCTGCAATACTAACTTCATGAGCGTATCTAGTTCTTTTAACATGTGAAGACTTAAGCAACGTTTCACTACGTCCAGAACTTGCGATTTCAGTCTTGAAAAATAATTCGGTCCAACCGCTTCCAGATAACCACTTTCCAATCATATTTTCAATAGCCATCTCAATGTGAAGTCCCCCCATCATTATAATCATTTTATCCTCACCATAAAGATCAGGGTATTTCCACTGAAGTTGCTTAGCAATCGCAAATACTGGTTGATCTGCAGTAATAACAACTGGTTGACCATAATTCACATTATCAATAATAGATGATATAATATTGATTAAATGTCGAACAGTGGCAGGTGATTGAATGTGATCCGGCAACAGAGGTAAT